GCTTTCTTTTAAAAAAAACCCTTCGGAGTTCAATACTGGGAGAGACTACAGGCTTAGTACATGCCTCAGCACAGTATTTCAGTCATATGACTCTCTGCTTCCTACAGTCAGACTTTCCTGACGTGTCCTCATTCTGCTAACATTATTGTAACAACCACACTCCGATGTTTCGCTCAGTATCAGCAGTGGCCTTTTAAAAGCAAAGTTGAAGATGTGATCAAAAGAGTGCTTTTTGTGTTTAGAAATGAATAAAAATACATCTTGGCACAACACGCTGCAGCTGTCCAATGCCTGCTCTTCCTACAGTGGATAAGTCTGGTGCCGAGTGAAACTGATGTTAAAGTTCATGTGGGCAGTGACCATTTCAAGTAGGGGGTTGACAGACATCGCTAATTCTATGTCCTCCAAATGAATATCCCCTCAGACCAGCTCAAGAGCTCACTGGTAAGTTTGTTTACTGTGCAATATCAAAATTCACTGCATCAGAATATCATCACAAAAGGCAACAACCCCCTGTTCCTCTACTAGATTTCCAGACTGTGGCTACACAGAAAAGGACAGAACCCATTGAAGTCCTGGATTCCTATTTGTATTGTTAAAACCAGGCTTATGTTGGAGAACAGTTAGATTACTTTTCTAAATAACACAAAACTTGTTGGCATGAAGGTAGTCCAATTAAGACTGAATTACATCATTCAGTTCTGCAGTTACGCCCACTCAGCTGAAGGCAAGCAGGGACATTTTAGCTATTAATTTTAGAAGACATTGGTAAAGCATTAACCCCTGAAATAAGACTGAGCGGTACAATATCTTATGAAACATTGAACCTTCTGAGCTCAGCCTTCTCACTCTCACCTTAAAATCTTGCCATTCGAGATGAATGCTACACTACATCTAATACACAGCACCTCACACACACACACACATTTGCTAAACAAAACAAGGCAGTTCAGTATGTCTGCAGTTCTGACTGTAAGGTATATTATGAGTGCCTCTTTTCCCCACGACAGTGCTTGAATACTAAAAATGTACTACAAAACGAAATTATAAGAGAACAAAATTATAATATTTGAGTATTGATAAACAACAAAGTTGTTTCGATACCTGCTTTTTTTTTTTAAAAAAAAGTGATTATCCTTAAAAAATGCAGTAACACAGACTGGTCTTCCAAACTTCCCTTAACAGGGTAGTAGCACTCCGGAATTTTAAAGAGGACAGTC